TTGATTAAAAACGATCGTATTTTTGCTTAAACTGAAAAAATTCAAAATTCAAGAATTCTAAATTCCATAAGATAAGTTATAATTGAAAACATGTAAGAATTATGTCGTCACTGAATTCACATGTTTTTTGGTACCACCTGTACTCTGTAGATATACTAATTTAAACAGTTTCCCTAAATGAGATATTTAATTTACTTCTAAACGAAAAGAACATTTATGAAAAATGTAGCGAAGAAACCTGAGTAATTAGAACTCATAGAACATTTGAAAACTGTTGCAACTTTTTCAAATTGCATCAGCCCTGTGTGGTCCCAAGACAGGGTGGATATTCTTCACTTTAACCAAGTGACACGGAGTACATTCTGCCAACGGATTTCCAGTCATGGGATTGATTTTACCAGAAAGTATTTGAGCAGAGAAGTTTGGAATATTTATTTGGAAGTTTTAGTATTATTCTGGCTTCCTGCCGTTTTACCAATTATATGTCAAATTATTATTCTCATGTCAGGACTATTTGATTTCCCACAAGCCCCCTCCCCCCTTGTAAATACGCCCCCCCACATCCCCCTCTTTAACCTAAGCTTAGCCCCATGTTTATATTATAATATTACTATTTAGCTCATCCATGTTACAAAAACATTTCAAAACTTTTGTTGCTCAAAACCGAAAAAAAGTTATTAATTTGAAAAAAAAGATTGTGATAACCTAAAAAAAACTCGCATAAAATACGACTGTACCTATATAAAAAATCCAGGAAATATTTTTAGAAAAATAAAACTTATTTTCACTAAAGCATGTAGAAATAAAACTTAAGTATAGTTTCAGATTTGGAAATATAAACGAGAAAAGAATATTTAACTCCTATAGTTTCTATAATTACACATATAGAGGGGGGCTGGTCAATGATCAGTTGTGTGAACAGCTTGAAATACATATTCCAGGAATTCTAAGGTTTCTGATTTCTTCCAGGAATCTTTAGAAACATCGGTTCCGACAAAACCGTGTTCTCAGGGTACTTCTTAGAACAGACGGAGGCGATAATCAATAAAAGAAAACCGTCCAAACCCTCCTTTTCGTTCTTCAATCGTATTACTAGCCCCCCCCCCCCTATTGCAATAAAATGACGAGAAACTATAAAGTAATAAAATAATATATGATACTATTGTTAATGTCAGGTCTATCTATGATAATTTGAGACTGACAATGGAAAAATCTTGGCTATTTCCTAACTCTAATATTCTGTAGAAATCTTCAAATTGCAATGTACAATGTGTACATACCAGAAACTATTGAATATCACATGAAAAATACAATTATGTGAAAACGTTTTATGTTTATTTTTGTCAATTAGTATTCAGACTCCAGGGGGGGGGGGGGTTTATTCAATGAAAAAAAAAATGAATTAATAACAGTATGAAAATGATTGTATCATGAATGTATATTTTATTGAGTAAATTCATGGTGCATACAAGGTGTCCCACTAAACCTAATAGTTGAAAAATAACGTTAAGATCGTCTTTGATCTTTGATAGCCACCTAATTACAAAATGTGTAAATAAAATGCATAGATTTCCATAATGTGGCGTACCTACTAGAAAGCTTTTAAGATGGTGAAACCTCTTTGTACAGGATACACCGACCCATTACACTTAATACGTTGACTTTCAAGCTTAATACAGAGGTGGTCAGAACTTATGTATCGTTAATCTTAAACGCTTAATCTCGATATCCAATGCGGAAACTTTTAGATTTGTGAACAATTGCTTGATTCCTTAATTAAAGTTATCCCTGCAAGGTATGACCATCACAAGATATCGAAGAGGAAGAAAATTGATCTGAGCTGGGAGCTTTAGCATGGGATATCTTTAATCCCGATCGGTTAATTAATCTGGAGATAAATATCAAGAGGAGAACAAGCATTATTTAATCTGGAGATTTAGAAAAAGGTGAGATCAAGCATTAATCCCGATATCCACCATTCAAAAGTTCCCAACTCTGTTGCACACGTTCTGAATTCTTGTAACATTATAATAACATAAAATACATAAGATTATATTTCATGTCGTCTTCCTATTCCACAATTCTATGGGTACTATTGTATACAAGATTGAAGACTAGCTTTAATCTTTAAGTCGTCTTTAAATTCCATATGTTTTGGGACACCATGTACGTAGCTATAGTGCATAGGCCGTTTGGATAATTTATAGTATGTATTTCCAGGAAGTGGAAATAAAAACACTTTTTGCTCCAACACTCATTTTTCATTCTTCTTAACCCAGATATTTATAATCATAGACCCTGCAACTCGACTGCAACACTTGTAACATGTGAAGCTTTTTAGAAACTTTTTGTGCATGTTTTTAAATAAAAGTAATATTTTAAAACATCACTTCAACAAAATATCTTTTCAATTTTTAGCCTTTATAGTACTCAAAACGTAAATTGACAAAATTGTGGTCGTCTTCCAATTTTTAAATGAATATTTGTTCTACTCTATTTTTATACAGGGTTCCCCGTGAAATATGATACTTAATGGACGTACGGCTGTCAATCTAGTATGCTGGGTTTATTAGCACCTGATCCAATAAGGGTTCAGTCATGTGTTTGGTGCCTATTCTGAACCAATAGAAATTTCATGGCGGTAACATCTATCTATCTCATCAAAAATTAGATATAAATCCTTATATCGGCGCTATAACTGTAAATGAAAATGTTTACTTCTACTGAAACTATAGTGAGCTGCACGGAACTTACATTTCAAGGTTTCCATACCAAAGCGCTGAATATGCCTTCATAAGCTATATTTAAGACAGAACTACAAAAGGAATTCCAGATCGTTATATTTGAAGAGAATCATCCTTTTTGTGAAATATAAATAAAAACTTTTTTATACAGTTTAACGCTAAATAAGCCAAACATCGAGAGAATTCATCAAATGTCGTATTCTTCACTTTCTGAAAATGGACTGTTGCAGATATCTATTTTTTAATTAAATGATTATATGGAGCTCTTTAAACCAGTCTCGCGTATTCATGGCTAAATATTTATTTTCGCAAATACTGAGATTTACGTAATAAAGTATGAAACCCATTGAAAAATTGTCAAGACGACATTTGATAAATTCTTTCCATGTATGGCTCACTTAGGGTTTAACTGTATTTAAGCGAGTAAAAATATTTTGTTATATTTTGTAACTTATCATATAGTTAAAATTGATTTAAATCAAGCAAATACAAATCTTCGGAAAAATCTCAAGAAAATCCGCGATTTTATCTTTTAGTTCAGTAAATACAAGCATTAAAAAATGAACCTACTAACAACCCTGATGATAACTCAGCTCTTCTTTTATCAGTTCGTTGTTCTTGGGAGGATTTTATCGGTTGATTGCTCCTCTAATCCTAGTTCATCAGCTGATTACACCTCTGATCCCAGTTTATCAGCAGATTACACCTCTGATCCCAGTTTATCAGCTGATTACTCCTCTGATCCCAGTTTATCAGCTGATTACTCCTCTGATCCCAGTTTATCAGCTGATTACTCCTCTGATCCCAGTTTATCAGCTGATTCCGGATTGAGAGACAAAGACGCTACGTTCCCGGATTTTACAGACTACGAATATGAAGATATATTGGATTATGATCGAATTGACATTTGATTTTTTATTTCTTTTTTATATTTACATTATACTTTATAGTAGATATAAATAAAGAAACTTTTTCACCAATCCAAATATATAAACGTTTTAAGAATTAAGAATTGATATGAAGCTAAAAAAAGGCCAATATCAAGGGAAGATGAAAATAATCGTTAAAATAGTTTATTATTTACCTCTAAAGGTTTTCTGAAAAAACTATTTGATTCGATTGAATTAAATACAAGCAAGAGATATTTGTCCTTTTATTTTCATAATGTACGCATTTCCTTTCCAATTTCCAAAAAATGAGAGAAATCTAATGTGTATTTCCGTTTTAGCTTTGATTGAAACAAAAAGATTTTTTTAAATTGTGGTGTTTTTATTCACAAAGTACATATCTACATATTTATATATACTGCAAATTGTATAACTTTACACACATTAAGAAAAAGCATACTGCAAAATGCACATGCAATAACAGGTTTTGCAGTTTTGCAAATAAAGAATGTATCGTGTTATGTAACTTTTTATATGTGATTCAGCTTGAAGAATTTTATATGATGGATAAAAAAGTTTCTGGGTGTATTCTGATGCAGCCTGAACTGGGCTGAGAACTTTAGAATGATGGATATCAAGATCAATGCTTGTTCCTCTCTTTTCCTTAGTCTTGAGACTAACCTAATCTTGTGTTTGTATCCTGAAAGTGAATAAAATTCAACCAATCAGAGTTGCGTATCACAAGCCAGGAAATTTAAAACTTTGCGCGCCATTTAATGAGAGATCTCGACATTTAATTATGATGAATATACAGAGACGGGAGGGACTCTCTTATTTTAAAAAACCGGTTTCGGTACTATTGTGGAGGTCTATTTATTCGTCGCTACACTATATCCAAAAAAGAGTGGATTAAGCAAGAAATTAAAAGTGTCTACATTGGATATTCGGATTAAGCAGTCGTGATTAAAGGTATCCCATTCTAAAGTTCCCAGCTCTAGATCATAATATTCAGCTCGGACAAACTTATCCCTTAAATGATTTGCGCCATCTTAGGCCATAGAATTGTCTTTTTCAAACAGAAAATAGCTTGTTGATTTTATACAAGAAGATAAGAGACGAGACAAATTAAAGCGAAGACGATTTATCCGGCATCTAAATGGGTGTTGAATGTGATTCATTGATGACACTCTTTTACACTGCAGGCATTGGGTCAAATAAATTACGTTGATCCACAATCTCTTTTTAAGTTATACATTCCTCGCATTTAACTTTCAGAATTAATCCGAATATTTTATGGTCCACGCAGAAAAATTTAATCCTTCTAAAATGTTATTGAATATCTAAAAAGGTCAGTGCTCAGTAAATCGTAAATATAAGACAAGGTGTATTTCACTAAATAAGTACAAGTCGCTTTAAATAAAGAGTTTCCAATGTGGATATCGTAGTTAACGACGCATTGTAAATCAGCGCCATCTTCAAATAAAGTTACGACCTTAGAGCATGTTAGAACCATATTGCCTGGAGCCGCTGAATCCTATGAAGAAGGTTGAGTCCAACATCCTGGAGTAGCTGAGCAGTTCCTGTAAAATGTTTGGAGGCTAAGTATACAGCTAGGAGGCCGGTTAACCCACCCACGCTAAATATCCGGGTTATGGTGGAGTCCTGCCAGTCCTTATTCAAGATACACTCATGATAGCGCATTCTAAATATATACATTTAAACATTTAATCATTACATTTAATACTTACTATTTTTTTGTTAAGATTATTTTATAATTTTGCAACCTGATGGTGTAAATCTTAGATTTTTTTACTTAGATTATTTTATCTAACAGAATATCAAAGGTTTACGAAATTGGGTTGCAAAGATATGGGGATTAGAAAATTTTAGTTTGTGTCAAAATCTCAGTACCTTCAAAAATTTATTTAATTTAAGATAATTAATTTGAATTAATTTAAGTCTATGTTATAAACTGAGAACCAGAAAACTGTGAAAAAGGAAGACATACATTTAATTAATCATTGTTGATTTCCTGGAGTCATATGAGGTTCCACTAAAGAATCGGTTCAGCCGTTTAGAAATTCATTTGGAACGAAAAACCCCATACAAGAAACGGACAAGACATCTACATTTGCATCCACTACAGTGAGACCCATAAAACTGTAGAATTTATGATTTAAATTGTCCAATGAACATGAATTAAGCAACAATTGAACAGTCTGTTAAGAACCACTCCAATCAAATTGCAATTCAAGCTATAATGGTAAAACAATGTGTGCCAAAACAATATAAAAATACACAAAGATTATATTAATGTCGTCTTCATATTTCAAATTTTATGGGTCCTTCTGCATATATGTCGGCTTCATATTTTATGGGTCCAATTGTATAAATATTTACCTGGAGAAGGTGACTGAAGTATAGAGTGGAACCCATTTGTTGGGAAACATCCAGTGAAGGAAATTATCGAATTTTTTACGAAGGAGGAAGGATTTCTTATTCACCAAATCTCTCATCTAGTAAACAAAAATAAGATGCTCCGAAAAGAAACGAAAAAATATCATACATCTGCAGATAAAAGGGTTATCCAACATTTTGTTTGGATGAAAAATCTGTTTAAAAGCTTCTTAACTTTAAAAAGAAAATTACTTTAGCTTCTTTTTCTTTGAACACTATCCTTGACTAATAAAAACGAGCATAGGGAACTTTTCTGTACTTTATATTTTATGGAAATTTATGTTTAGAAGCTTCTGTCAATATTTTTCTGGCCCCCCAGCTGTCTTGATACACCCACCAAAAAATGATTTTATAAGTTAATCCTGAAGTAGTTTTGCAACAAATATCAAATGCTTGTTTAAGAAAAGGTCGAAAAGTTTTGTCATATTTTTACCTCAACATAGTTGTATAATGCTAGATCACACATTGCCTCTGCATCAGGATTCCTAAACTTACTGTACTCATCAAGAGCCACACCTAGCTCCGGGTTCTGATTCAAACAGTCGTTCATCACCAAGCAGTCCTCCATCCCGCAGTTCATCCCCTGACCGTAGAAGGGAACCATGGCATGCGCCGCGTCCCCCATGATAACAGCGGTCGAACCAATGTTGTACGGGAAGCATTTTATACTTACAAGAGGCAGAGCAGGGTTTTCTAGATAGGATTTAACTAGGTTCTCCTGTCCTATCAGAGGAATGGAATCCTGAAAGTTCTCATTAAAGAACTGGAGGACGGACTCCGTGTCTGTCAGAGAACTAAAGGTGTCTGTCGGCATAAAGAGTGTGAGAGTAAAGGATCTGTCCTGGTTAGGCAGCGCTATCATCATAAACTGACCACGTGGCCAGATATGAAGATAGTTTCGCGGCATTGCGAAATCTCCGTCAGGAGTTGGTGGGACAGAGAGCTCCATGTAAGCATGAGGTATGTACTCCTGACTATAGTTAAACCTTGGTTTTCTCATCATCTCTCTTCTAACAGCAGAGTAAGCTCCGTCACAGCCTATCACCAGATCAGGATTCACAATAACCTGGAAAGTAAAAGAAATAGTGGCGTTAATTGTTGATCAAGAGTATTTTCCGAAATATATTTTCCCATATGAACTTTTCCCAAAATGAGAGAATCCTTTACGAGGTTCATAAGAAAATTGATTTATACAGTTAATGAGAGGATATGTTGGGTTAAAGACTCTGGAAGGTCCGAACAATGAGCGGAGCCTATTTGAGAATATGCCCCTTTGTAAATTGAACAATTGGAGACTTGTTCCTTGGGAAGTGCCTTTACAACTATTAACAATAAAACAATTTGTTGAATTCACTTTTTTTAAATCGAGTCTTTTCAAAAATGTGTTAATCCCATTATCTTTGCATCCTGATCGTGTAAATCTTCGATATTTCAGACTTTGATTCTTTGATTTAAAAAATCATAGTTTAAAATATTTTGTTGCAAAGATATAGAGAATAGAAAGTTAGAATTTGTGTGCAAAGACTAAATTCCTTTACCTTTTCTTCATTGTCTGAATCTGTTCTGACGAATATAAGCTGTGGTTTGTCCAGATCTGCTTTGAGTAGTTTATGATTAAAATGGTAAGTTATATTCGAATATGTATCTCCTTTATCCAACAGTATCTCATTTACATACCGTCTCCCAACAGAATAGATACACTGCTCACCCTTCCCGTAGGGAATAGGAAAAGTAGCTCCATCCAGGTTGTGAATCATTCGAGCATACATTGGGATACCGTACTCGTTCTTCACATGGTCCGCTAGTCCGATCTGGGAGAGGGCGGAGAGCGCTCTGACCGACATGGCGAGGTTGATTGATCTACCTGGAACATGCTCCATTTGTCTTATGTCAGCTCTCACGTCGTACACATGAACCTGGGATATTACATATCATGGCACATGTCAAAATCACACATCAAAGAAACTGATTACTCATCTCAAAGTCGAATTTTCTTAAATATGTATATTTGAAATATGATTTAGTAGATCTTTTATATTTCAAACTTTGTCTGCTATAATCAAATAGTTCAAAAATCCATTAGGTTGCAAAATATTTAGGAACAAAAGCTAATATCTTTTATCCTGATAATTAAGATACCCCTTAATAATATTAAGTTAATGTATTGTATACAGTTAAAACTGGTAAAACGTGGAATAAAAAGTCATCTTTGTCTAATATTTTTTTTTAAGGAGTTAAAGATAAATTTTTAAATAATAGGTAAATATTATATAATGTTTAAGGTCACATTTACAGAAAAGTAACAGTTACAAATTGCAGTCTTAATTTTTAGAAAAAGACTGGTTGCCACTGTATTTTGCAGCTAGGAATTAATCAACAATTTTGTTATTTTTTGAAATTACAAATAATTTCCTCCAATCTTCTTTCATGACTTTTATGGCAAAAAAATGTGAATCAAAACATGCACAAAAAAGACAAAGAAAAAATATGTATAATATAATATAATACGATGAAAATTTAGCTTGTCTGTCTGTTTGTTTGTGTCCAATAATCGTCAAAACGGCTAAAAAATTTGTGTTTAAAATTTATTATTTTTGTAAAAATTTGAAAATGCACGATAAAATATTATGAAATTTGCAAACTTTTTTATTATTTTTTTTTACTGTACAAAGAGAAGATGCTCACAGATAAAAAGTTGAAATAGAAGATGGGCGCGAAGCGCCCTAAAAGCCTAGTATATCAGATATATCAGTTATTGTCTGTCTGTCTGTTTGTTTGTATCCAATAAACGTCAGAACGGCTAAACCGATCGGGCCCATATTTTTTGTGGGACCTCGGGTGACCCCAGGGAAGGTTAATGTTGTATTGAATTTTCAAAAATTTGCCTCTGACAAAATTAAATTTTTGCAAATATTGAAAATACACGAAATTTCTTTTATAAAATCCGATAATTTTGTTTTGTTTTGTTTTACAAAGAGAACATGTTCACAATTGCAATAGAAGATGGACACTAAGCGTCCTAAAAGCTTAGTATAAATATAATTACAAAATTCATATATGGCATTCTTATTTTATGTAAAGACGGTAATTAATTTTCTTTAAATCTCCGTCTCATAGAAAATTAGTGTCCTTTCAAAAATGTTATGTTATTTATTTTTTACAATCTAAGCACCCCACAATTCAAAAATAATATCACAAGAAAATGAAATTTGGGAAGACGAATTGTTTCTTTGAATGAAAATGATATTCTTGAAATAGAAAATAAACTTTAAGAGTGAAAACTTAAATCAACAAACAGAAAATTGCGTATAAATTTTTTTTAAAACTGAAAATAAAACTTATGGGATAATAAAAATCAATTTTAATAGATCAAAAAGACAATTTATTAAAAAATCAAATCAAGACCTCCTAAAAATCCACCAAAAAAATTAGTTACCTCATTTCATAAATCCTCCGTCCTTACATAAAAACTGAGTATATAACATTTTCAAATATATTTGTATCCCCCTCTACCCTCCCCTCCATCACCCACTTTAGATTTTCATCAAGTTTTGTAATTCCAATTTGTACTTTATAACATTTCTTGCTCTTTCATGATATATAGGGTCGAATAAGAAACCTACCTCCATCCCTCTCTGAGCCAGAAAACACGCCTCCAAAGATCCAACAAGCCCCGCCCCCACCACAGCCACACACACCTTCTTATCCGTCATTCTGCCACGCCTCTTGATAGCTAGCCCGCCTTTAATCGACTGAAAACTTGGTTGCCTCTAAAAAAGTTGAAATCCTGAAACTAGTTTGAGACCAAGTTAATTAATTGTATAGAAACTATTTCTTGGTTCGCAGAGTAGAGAAGAGTGAAGGAAGGAGAAGTTTAAACAATATGGTTCCTGCATTTCTCCTTTCCTGATTCTGTATCAGGAAATAGGAGGGTCAATCCTTCCCTGCTCCCGTATCAGTGTACTACTGGAGAAAGAAGACGTATCTCCTTCCCTACTCCTGTACTATGTACTACATGAGATAACAGGCGGCGGCTCTCTTTCCCTGCTCCTGTGTCATGGTGTACTGGAGATAGATGCTAGGCTCCCAATCCCTGCTCCTGTATCAGTGATATTCTGGAGATAGAAGTCTCTCCTTCCCTGCTTCTGTACCAGAGTACTACTGGAGATAAAAGTCTTTCCTTCCCTGCTCCTGTATCAGGGTATTGCGGGAGATAGTTAAGTCTCACTGCTCCTGTATCAGGGTACTGCTGGAGATAGAAGGCTCTCCTTCCCTGCTCCTGTATCAGGGTCCTACTGGAGATAGAAGGCTCTCCTTCCCTGCTCCTGTATCAGGGTACTACTGGAGATAGGGAGAAGATAAACCAATATCATGTATCACACTTCTCTTGTATTATATCGGTGACGTCATGGAACATAATTATTTCAGCTGATAAAATATGTAATATATAACATATCCAGGTTTACCAACAAAGCATGGGACTTATTTTGACGACCAAAAATGTTTCAAATATAGACTTGTCAATTCTAACAATCGTATTATACAGCAGTAACCAGAATTTTGAGTACTGAACGTCGTCTTCCATTTATTTCTAATTATTATAATAAATATTAGAATATATAAATATTAGAATAAAAAAGAAGAAAGAATTAACTGTTACAGTGTTTTTTTTTCTGGTTCTTCTGTAGCCAAGAAGCACAATTGTTTACTATTTCATTAAATCAAGTCTCCAATGAATATAACTAAAAAGTCTGTGAGCAAGTGAGTTTCATGCTTTGTGAATATCCCTGTGTTTATATTTCAAATAAAATAATAGAAGGTAATATTGCAAATGTTGAGCTATACACTACAGTGTTAAATATGAAAAACATTTTTACTAAATAGCAAATTGGCAATTCCCAAACATTTTCAGAAAACTTTAGTCGAGGGTCCTAAAAATAATAAAATAAAATAATTTTAATATGAAATATATGACTGGAAACAAATAGTTTGTTTCTTTGTAGGCTCTTTTTATGAGTCACACTGCATTTAGAAGTAAAATTGAGAGTCCGCTTCAAACTGGTTTATTTCCTTCAATTTGTTTTCTAAACTGGGTCTGCTAAAATTCAGTGATTGTATCTATGTATGCAAAGTTATTTCATTTTGTTGTTTTTGTCTTTATGAACCTTCCCTGCGGTCATATGAGGTACAACGAACAAACAAACAGACAGACAGACAAGCATAGTATGTATATAGAAGAAGAAGATAATGGATTTGTGAAACTCCCCTGTTTTAATCCATGTTATCTGTTCTACGTAAACAATATTTATTTATATCAAATTACATTTATATTTAGTATAAATCCTGTTTTAAATAGAATATATATATATATATTGTTTGTTCAAAGAATTGTAACTACTGAGGATCGTCATGATGGCGTGAAACATTATGCTTAGTATAATTTTTTTGAATAAAAAATGTGAAGTTAAAAACTGAAATATATATATATATAGATGTATTTATACTATTTATATAGGGTGATCCATTTAAAAAAGTAAATTTTCCAGCTTTTAATTTTTTTTTATTTTCTGATTAAACACTTTCTGGATCTCTTTTTATTTGTATCTCACATGATATGGATCGTCCTGTACTTGTATCTTGACATGTGAATCACGCTGTACTTGTATCTTATACGTGTTTACTGTGTATTGTCAATAAACATCAAGAATGTAATGCAATGAAAGTTAATTACAGTTGCGTATACCCTGCGTACATATTGAAACCAGTTCTCTCTGGGCGAAATTTGTAAACAAGAATAGACGCATCAGTGTTCGTTTAGTATCCGAGGAGGTTAAAAGCATTAGATTTTGATAACTTTTATAATTCACATAATAGTTTCCTATGACCAGAATATTTCATTAATTATTTATGTGAAAGATGGATCCCATGTCAGGCTTCGACATCCGTCTTGTGTTTACATACCGTCCAGTGACAGTACACTGCAGTACAAAAGATGCGCACACCTCTGAAATAACTTTCCTTGCATTAAATCCTTGATAAACATCAAATATTATGTCAAAACTTGAAATATTGTTACGTAAACATATTTCTCGAAGTTCAATAAGTACAAAAACATCAGTCTATACGACACAAATGAGATACTTACTTAGTACACTCAGTACACTCAGTACACTCAGTACACTCAGTACACTCAGTACACTCAGTACACTCAGTACACTCAGTACACTCAGTACACTCAGTTCACTCAGTACACTTAGTACACTTAGTTCACTCAGTACACTTAGTTCACTCAGTACACTCAGTACACTCAGTTCACTCAGTTCACTCAGTACACTCAGTACACTCAGTTCACTCCGTACACTCAGTACACTCGCTACACTCAGTTCACTCAGTACACTCAGTACACTCAGTACACTCAGTACACTCAGTACACTCAGTACACTCAGTTCACTTCGTAAACTAAGTAAACTCAGTACACTCAGTTCACTTAGTACACTCAGTTCACTCAGTACACTCAGTACACTCAGTACACTCAGTTCACTCAGTTCACTCAGTTCACTCAGTTCACTTACTAAACTCAGTACACTCAGTACACTCAGTAAACTCAGTACACTCAGTACACTCAGTACACTCAGTTCACTCAGTTCACTTAGTACACTCAGTTCACTCAGTTCACTCAGTACACTCAGTTCACTCAGTTCACTCAGTACACTCAGTTCAATCAGTACACTCAGTACACTCAGTACACTCAGTACACTCAGTACACTCAGTTCACTTAGTACACTCAGTTCACTCAGTTCACTCAGTTCACTCAGTACACTCAGTTCACTCAGTACATTCAGTTAACTCAGTTCACTCAATACACTCAGTACACTCAGTACAATCAGTTCACTCGGTACACTCAGTTCACTCAGTACACTCAGTTCACTCAGTACACTCAGTACACTCAGTTCACTCAGTACACTCAGAACACTCGCTACACTCAGTTCACTCAGTACACTCAGTACACTCAGAACACTCAGTACACTCAGTTCACTCAGTACACTCCTTACACTCAGTTCACTCAGTTTACTTAGTACACTCAGTTCACTCAGTTCACTCAGGACACTCAGTTTACTCAGTACAGTCAGTACACTCAGTACACTCAGTACACTCAGTACACTCAGTACACTCAGTACACTCAGTACACTCAGTACACTCAGTACACTCAGTACACTCAATACACAAGAGTCCAAAGGTTCGGTCAAATTTTACAAATTTACGTTAGACAGATTTTCAAAAGTAAAAAGGGTTTAAAGGTATTTCCCCATGAACCTTTTTATTTCTGTTACAGAATACGAACACTGATATTTGTAATGAGTTTGGTGGAAGCATAAGAAAACATAAATTTCAATTAAGTTAAAAATGTTTTTTTAATTATCTATTTTCTACAGTGTGACCCAAAACAAGCTGTTGAATTGGATAAAAGACTAATAAAATCATGAGTTATGATTCTTAATTTAGAAGCAATTCTCACCCATTAAATAAAGATAATATGTATTTACAGTGAGAACCAGAAAATATTAATAGGAAGCAGACTTTTAGACTCAAGTGTGAAAATAAATAGGCCAATAAACATGAGACACAACAATCGTGCAGTGAAAACTAACCGATTTTGTCCAGGGGGGTTTACATTTTTTTCATTCCGGAGGGTGGCTCAGCGACCGTTTTTGGGCCTAAAAACCCCCTGAAATCCATCAATTTTACTGGTCCAGGGGGAAGGGCTGAGCACCATAGCCCCCCCCCCTGACTACGCCTCTCATATAAATCTACATTTGGTTATAATACGATACAATTAAAAAAATGAAAAGATCCCAGGGAATAAAAATCGTTTTTATATTTAATTATTGAAGCGTTTCACTCATTAAACATTAAGTATCAGTTATCTAATATCTAATGTTTCATAATGCTTACGTTGCATAATCATTTGATGTTCGTATATATTACCTAATGCAAAGATCATTTTAAATTATGTAAAAGTTTAAATTACAAGAATGTGCACATTACGTAAAGGTTGATTTGAGTATACACTGGGAGGGAAGGGGGGGGCTGATAAACGAGTTTCAAAAACTAGGTTTAGACTTGATTTCGATGAAATGATAAAAACAAACCAAGAACATGTGTGTTTTTTTGTAAATATATTTATATATATATTTTATAACATAAACTTCATCCCATTTTTGTTCCAGGCCAGATATTAGAATAATCTTGGTCATTTTCTTACTTTTCCAATGTACATAAAAGTCACGGACGCGGGTTGTAAACTTCCGCCAATAAAACCAGGGGCGGACACAGGATTTCAGCCAGGGTGGGGGGCGAGATTTTTTATGTATACAAAAACCTCCAAATAGGAGCAAAAAATATTGGTCTAGGATCATAGAGTGTAACTTAGTGAGCGAGGCGAATGGTTGCAAGGGGTGCAGAGCCCCCCGTGCGTAGAAAATTTGCGTAGTGGTATGAAAACTAGTAATTTTAGCTTGAATTTTATGTTATGTAGAATATTTTTTTTTCAATTTGTCATGTTTCGTGGGACACCCTTTGATTTATTTATGATCTGATAGTTACTTTTGAAAACATTTTTGCCTGTTTCGAGGATTTTTTGATAATGAAGACGACATTTTCATATTTTCCAGGAATGTTCGAAAATCCAGCGCCACTGAAATATTATTTAAAAAACCAAATAAAAAATATTATGAAATATTAACTATATACGAATGCGTCAAAAAATAATCGATGAATATTATTTGTAATATCTGAATGATTTCTTTGGAATTAATTAGAACCTGTCAAATCTTTCGTTGGGATGTTTAGAAAGATGAAAATTTCCCTGTATGATAATTGAAGGACTGCAGTATGGTTTTGGTGAATTATATTGGCGTACAAAGCCTAATACTGGGGGGAGGGGGTACAGAAACCAAACAGAATTTTTATTTTTAATAAAAAAATATAAGTAAGCACTTCTAAGGATGTTTTCTTTATAGTTTTGCACTATTTTCACGGACATAAAAGCTAGTTTAATACTGATCAGATGATCACTTAATGGAGGGAGGGAGCACCCCACAGCACCCCACAGCACCCCAAAGTACTCCGCAATACCCAACAGTACCCAACAATACCCTGCAGTTTTGGGATTACAAATTGGCGTTGTTGCCCTCCCTCCCTCCATTAAGTGATCAGCTGATTAGTATTAAACTAGCTTTTTTGTCCATGAAAATAGTGGAAAACTATAAAAAAAACATTCTTAGAAGTGCTTAACTGACTCTACTAATATATTTTTATTAAAAATTAAAAATTCTGTATGGTTTATG